ATTAATTCAATGGTGTGTATTGTGTGTATCATTGTATCCGTTGGTGTAAATTAACTTTTCAAGAGAGTCGTTGAGAGAGAGAGAGAGAGAGAGAGAGAGAGATGGGTGTTAAGAGAGTCGGTGACAAAAACTAATCCATGCGTCTTTTTCGGGGTCCAAAGTCTCTCTTTCTCTCTCTCTCTCTCTCTCTCTCTCTCTTTCTCAACGACTCTCTTGAAAAGTTAATTTACACCAACGGATACAATGATACACACAATACACACCATTGAATTAATGTAAATACTGGCCCAAAGTGAGAGTGTGGGCGCGGGTGTGAGTGAATGCCACACACAGTCACATAGAGGACACACTGCATATTTGAAGTCATTACAACTTTTGGTCACTACATATGTCACTGTTGAGAGAGAGAGAGAGAGAGAGAGAGAGAGAGAGAGAGATTTGTAAAGTTTACATATAATAATATCCTTAAGTGTCATACGAGAAGTCTCTCTCTCTCTCTCTCTCTCTCTCTCTCTCTCCCTAGCAATCAATGATTATAATTAAGAAAACTCATCGAGCTGCGGCTCATTTCACCACCACCAGGGTCATTTTCAATTAACCATATGAAGATTGGTTGAGTGGCTGTATGTATGAGCACCGGGAGGGGAGGCGAGGGTGTGAGTGAACTGTATATAACAGTGTAGTGAAAGGGCTCGTTGTGTGTATGATATAAATGTACCACTCGTGAAAATTTGGCAAATGTAAATTTTCTCATACAATACAGAGTATCAAATGCTGGAAAACATAAATAACCATAAGTTATTTTTTATTCGCATAGGATTTCAGGTTCACAGATACAGTGTGTGTGAGCTATGGGTACAGCAAACATACCATTCCTCAGCATATCTATCAACGATACGGAGAGAGAGAGAGAGAGAGAGAGAGAGAGAGAGAGCTATGAAACTACGAAAACTACCTCCAATACTACCTGTCCAACCACTCCAACCACTTTCCATACATCCTATGCATCACTCATACCATTACACTTGCAGTGCATTCACTATTTATAATGCAATTCAATTCAATTGTTAATTCATATTTAAAATTAGAGCCATATCTGCCAACAAAAATAAACTCGTGTTTAATTTGTTCCCCAAATAGTATTGATATATCTATTATGTAAACTAAAAGAGTAAATCACAGCTAAAAACAATGAATTAATCAAACAATAAAGTTATTCAACACTATTTCTAACGCTATTTAATCACGAAATTAGGCTTTGCTTTCACTTTTGACGTTAGTTTTGAGGCTTTGGTTTCCAAAAGGAACTGACTTTGCGCTCAACTCTCCTATCGCTGTCTCGCTATTCACGTAACCATACTTTCAATGATTACACACTTATTGTATCATTGATTGCATCACTCGCTCGTCGAAATACCTCACAGATCCGTCATCTCATCCCATCATCCCTTGCTTTCCAATGGATTATCTCAAAGAAAAAGTGGACAATTTGGAAATCATTGTCTTTGACTTAGGTATCAATGCATGGCTTAACGCCATAATCGTGTTTGTATTGTCATATATTGATTGTAATACTGATTGTATGGTTTAATTGTGCAGATTATACTCTTTGGCCATTTTGGGTCGACACACACCCCACGCCTCCCTTTCGGCACAAGTGAGTCATTCATCTAATCATTTAATTATTAATTACGGTTTAAATGCTATGCTTTGCCTGAATAGTAATTTTTTGCGATAATTTGACAGAATTTTGAATTATTAGTTAATAATAATATTCATAAGAATCGGTATATTATTGAATAGATTTATGAAATTGAATGCATTTTTTGCTCCGAGAAATGAAAATTGAATTATATTTCATGTGTTTTTGTTTCAAATAAATCGCATTTTGGTTTTGAAACGATTATAAAGCGAAAGACATAATGAAATATCAGAGGAAAAAATTGATTGCTATCCACAAGACGTGCGCTCATTATATGGGATGCCATCCAATGGTGTAATAAATTAGATATTTTTGATTAATCAACACATCATTCAATTCCAGCCCTCTTTTGAAATGAGATTTTTTGAAAACTATTTTTTAAAAATATTTTCAATTTATATACAAAAGAGTGAAATAAATGTATAAATAATTCAATGCATTCGAAGGTTTCATTAGATTACGAATGCCTTTTGCCGACCATTTGTTCAAAATATTAATTGATTTTAAATATTTATGACAAGAATTTTCAATTTTTGAGAAAAAGGTTTTTAATTCTTGTATTTCTAATGATTTTTTATTTTTGTTTAATTGATTAAAAGGAATGGAGGGGTAGTCGACGCTCGCGGCCACAAAGTCGGCTTTTATCCAGAAGTGCCCGAAGTTTTGAAAACACTATTTTCAATGGGGTATACAATAGGAATCGCCTCTCGGTGTGTATTAAAAGGTTTCAATGTTTAAATTCATTCAATAAATTATTTTTTTAACCAAAAAGGACTTCAGCGCCAGAAGACGCGGAAGAATTGCTGTCATTATTTGATTGGAATAAATACATCGCTTATAAGCAAATATATCCCGGATGTAAGATAACTCACTTCAACCGCATTCGCAAAGAAAGTGGAGTCCAATTGTCACAAATGCTCTTCTTTGACGACGAGTCCAGAAATATAAAAGATCTTAAGGCCGTTGGAGTGACCAGTATTTTAGTCAACGAAGGGGTCGATAAAGTTGTCATTAATGAAGGCATCAAACAATTTGTTACAGAAAAACAATGATATTAAATGATTTATTATAAATAAAGATCCTATTTGTGTATAGTATAAACTTTATACGATAGCATTGCTGTGATTTTTATGAAAAATTGTATTTTATTAAATAATAATAATAATAATTTAGGTTTTAAATTAAAACGTGTTATAATTATGTGTAACTTAATTAATTCGATTACAAATGAAAAACAAAGTAAAACATGAAAAATTGTGTTTTTTGTATAATAATATAAATCAATTGAAATAATTTAAGTTATTTATTGTATAATTTTATGAATGATTCAAAATTCATTTAAAATTGTATTTAATTTTCAATTACAAATATTTAGCCAAATGTGTGGTCGTATCACAAATACTGAACGTCTGTATCAGTTATCAGTTGACAACAAAAATGAGAACATATTTTAATAATTAATAAA